TTGTCACTAACTCTTTGGGTGACTTTGGGCAAGTTATTTCATCTACAAAAACTGTATTTACTTTGTCTAGGAAAAACATGAGATTCAGGTAAGATGATTTCTAAGGTTCTTTCCTGCTCTAACATTCTTTTTTTTATGGTTTAACAACAGGTGTTCTCAATCTGAGGACAGAGTAGGGGGGACGGGTCTCTAAAGTTGAATAGGGGAAAAAAATCACATCTTTATTTTTATTATCCTCTCACAGAAAATAAGCATGTCTTTCAATTAAGATTTTTTTTAAAATCATCATTCTAAGAGGGGTCCATAAATTTCAACAGACTGCCAAAACAGTCCATCATACAAAAAAAGTTTAAGAACTCATGTTCTAGAAGATCAAAGAATTCTACTATGCTGGAAAAGTTTACCTGTACTCCTATAAACTAGAGCTATGATTGTACAAGACTACAGAACAATTCCCAGATTTGACCATCAGGAAGTCACTTCACCTTAATGGACCTCAGTTTTCCAATCTATAAAATGAGAGTTTGAACAACACGATCCCTAAGGCCCCTTCTATTCTGACATTCTGTGTTCTAATTTTTTAGGTTCTTTTCCAGGTGTAAGAGTCTATGTTTTAAGGTGCCTTCAAGTTTCAACAATCTAATTCTAAGATGCTTTCTAAATCTATGAATCTATGAAACACAGGATCCCACTGGCTTCAGGTTAGAACTCTAAGAGAAGCCCATGCTTGCTTCACCTAGACGACTGCTAGGGATAACAGGACCCTAATGTTTTACATAAAGAGAACAAGGCAGAAAGTATAAATTTTCTCAGGGGGAAAGATTGGGAAAGTTTAAATTGGCCTCCTTCAGAGAAGATAGCTTAATTTGATAAAGAGACCTACCCCACTAAAATCCAGGGCAGAAATTGAGGGAATTTCTTTAGCAGACATCAAACATAAGTGGAAGGGAAGGAAAGAGGGGGAGGTTATAAAAAATCCATTACAAACTCTGTGATGTAAGTCAAGACAAATCTCTGCAAGCTATTGTTTCTCCATCTGTTAAATGGGAATAATACTTACTTTACCTAATATCATAGATTTAGGAGAACAAGTAAATTATTTTTAAAAAATCTACACATTTTAAATATCATTATTATTAACAACAATAATTACATTAGCATTAAGTTGGGTGAAAAGAACTAATTCCTTACATTATTATTTTTTAAAACCTGGGTCTGTGATTTCAGTCTAAGAAATTCACTCTACCTGTCACTTTCAGTCTTAGAGAGTTGCCTGGGGCACCAAGAGGTTAATCATTTGCTAATGGTCACATAGTATGAGTTAAGGCTGGAACTTGAACCTAGGTGTTCTAGAATCCCAGGTCAAGTCTGTATCTCAGTTTCTTATTTATTTTTAATCAAGTTATAAGTACAACTTTCTGAAAAAAAAATCCCTTTAGTTTTTGACCAGATTGTATGATAGTCTAAAACCAAGGAACTCTTTCCATTTTTAAAAATCTTATTAATTATATTTAATACATGTTGGGCTCATCCTAAGGGAACTTTCCTCATTTGACCTTTATTTCTTTTTTTCCTCATTAAAACCCTGTGGTGGGCAGGGCAGATATTTTACCCTCAGGAAAGGCAGGAACCCATTTTTCTCCAAACTTTGTATGCCAACCCCCTCCATGCCCACCTCGACTCTTCCCTCAGTGACTGGCATTGTGCTCTACGTGCAGGAAACACTTAATAAATAATTGTTGAATGAATGAACAATCCTGTAAGATAGGTAGCCTTGACAGTATTGTCCCCATTTTTCATATGGGAAAATCAGAATCCACAGAAGCTCAGTGATTTTCCCATAGTCATACAACCAATAAAAGATAGAGCTGGTACCAGAACCCAGGTCTTCTGCCTTCTGAAACAGTATTCTTGCCATTACAACATTCACCCTTAAGAATGATATCAGAAGTTACTGCCTGATGAATTTCAATGAGAGAAATGCAGAGAGGTGAATTTCCCTTAATTTGGCATTTAACCTGAAGTCCACAGAACTCTAAGGGTTTATGGATACAGTTAGGTGGTTCTGTGAATTTGGATGAGAAACAAGTTACATCTTTTTCTTCACTAACCTCTAAAATTTAGCATTTCTTTTAATTATGATTTTTTTTTAAAAAATGTGATTCTGAGAAGGGGTGCACAGGCTTCCCAAGATGCCCAAAGGGGTTCATGACATAAAAAAATTAAGAACCCCTGCTGTGATTCATACAACCTTCTTCACAGAGGTACCTACGGTAGCTTTGTCACAGGGAATGACCTCTAAAATCTCTCACTGGCAGAATGGCACACACATGGGTACATGTTCAGTGCTTGGGGCACTGAAAGGGTAAAGTCCTGGCCTAGAGTTCCATAACCAGTACATGTCAGAGAATGGATTTGAACTTGGGGCTTCCTGACTGAATCTAGCTCTCTATCTGTGCTGTCTCTAGGCTAATACAAACAACAGTTAGTCTCCTATCTGTCTGTTCCACAATGCACAGATGAAATAACATCTCAAAGAACCAGCATCCCATCTAAACCATGCAACAAAGGCCTGTTGTGGGCTACCAGAACCAAAGAAAGCCACATGGGAAACTAGTTTCCCAGCTTGAAAGGTCTGCATTCCCCTGGCCCAGGTAGGCAGCTTCTCCTTCCTTTTCCCCTCTCCCTCCTCAAAGCAGAAGCTAAAACCGAGGACGCCAGGGCTAGGTATGAGTCAGCAGTGTCAAGTGGTGCGTAAGGGGACGTTTCCAAGCTTAAGACACTATGGTGACAGTTCAGCCAAATCATTACAGCACTAGAATTTCACCCAGCGGTCATATTAACGATTAGACTCTGCTCTGCTTGAGTCCTGATTGCAGAAAAACCTGCAAATGGAACATGTATTTTAATTGACAGCATTTACTGGACTGCTGTTTTCATGAGCAACATCTTGACAAAAGCCTCAGCAGTGTTTTGTTTTTATTTCCTGTGGAGGCTAAAGAAACCAAGATGTTGACATAGCCTATTAGAGTCAACATTTTTTGAGAACTCATATAGATTCCAGGTGTGTGTATATCTGTATGTATCTCCATTTAAGAATTTTTTGAATGTGTGGGTATATCTATAGGGAGGGTCACAGGATTTGGAGCTGGAAGTGACCTTGGAGGTCAGCTACTAATTTAGCTGGAGGTCAGCTAAATGAGGGAGGTCCAACTCCTTCATTTTTACTGATGAAGAAACTGAGACCCAGAGATATAAAATGATTCCCCTAAGGTCACACAGATCATAAGTAGCCCATCTGGGATTTTAACCCAGGTCACAGAGTCATAAAATTTTAGAGACCTATGAGGTCATCTAGTCCAACCTATACCCAAAAAGGAATCCCCACTATGACACACCTAACAAGTGACCATAAAGCCCTCTTACTGCAAATCTTATGACTCAGTGTCACACATATATCTATTTATATGTGTGTATTTGTGTACAAGTGTATGTATATTTGAGTGTATATATATATATATACACACACATATAAATACATATATACACACACATGAATTGTGTATAAGTATATGTGGGGGGGCATGTTTGTGTGCATTGTATACATATATGCTTATTTCATTGCACATATTCATTGTGTATGCATATATGTGTGTATATACAATGTATTTATCAGAATACATCTATCTGAAAAGCCATAGAGTACTTCATTATTAGAAAATTCCTCTGCACTAAGCAATGCTCTCTCAGCGAGTTAGAGCACATTCAAGACACTGTAATACTGCTTTAAAACAACAACAACAAAGAAAAACCACCTTGCAACATATTTTCAGTGCTGCAAAATAATCCCTCATGAATCTGGAAAACCTACAATCATCAATAAGCAAGAAGCAGTCAAACTGATCCAATTCTAGGTTGCAGCAGGATACTACTCTAGGATTAAACCTTCATCAAATGGCTACCAGGCCTGGAGATTCACTCTTTAATCCCCACATTGAACTTTTGGTTATAAGCTGTAAAAGGGCCACCCATAAATCACAGGTGTCACTACCACTAAGCAAGGTCAAAGCAAACAAATTCTTCGAAGTTGCTGACCTACATAGAGAGAGGCTGGCTACCCTTGGCATCTGATTCAGCCAACCTTATGAAGGCCCAGCTCTAGCCACCAACTTTTCAGCTTTCCAACATGGAGCTCTGTTTGAGCATGGGCAGGGACATATGACTGATTTTTCAAGCAACTTGGCTCAGCAAAATCCTGAAGGCCTGCCCAGCATCAATTGCCCAGTTTTTCTTTACTCAATACATATTATTGGGCAGCAACGACTAATCAGATACAATCTTTCCCTCCCATCAAAAAGCTGATTTCCTTTGGAATAGAAAAAATATAGATATATAAATCCATACACACACATACACATACACACATAAAGAATGGAGGCACAGAGATCCCTAATGGCCAGACTGTGCACTCAGGCTTCTTCTAGTCCATGTTCTTCTCAAGGGAAGGAGCAACCTAGAAAATTCTGTACTGCTGGCTCTGAGCTGGCTGCCAGAGTGAGATGTAAAACCTTCACATCCAAACCTTCAAGCCAATAACTTCAAAACACATGATTTTTTTCTGCCAAGTTAAGCCTCCGTTTCCCGCATTTAGGACAAATTAAATATGCAGACCCTTGTTCCTGTTTTCCTCACAGGGAAACTGTAACTGCGACCCACCCTAGCGCAATCCAGGCTGCTCTGATCCCACCGTCCTCTGTCCCCGCGCCCTCCTTCCCACCCCTCACCCCAGCCTACAGAGTTTAGCATATTATGACAGAATACCCTTGTTCGCTGCAAATCTAGTCTGATTCCATCGCATCCGTCATACCAGGAAGGGGGTTAGGGTGGGGAAAGACACACACACACACACATTTGATCAATCCAGACAGACCTTCCGAGGGCATCTGGGCATGCCGACACTCCCTGGGCAGGAGGATGGGGAAGGACAACGGGGGTGTTACCTTCGGTCACATAGCTGTGGTCTCGGAGAAAGCTGTGGTTAATTTTCCGCGTGTCCGCGTCCTCGCCCATTGACAGCAGGGCTCCTCAGCATGCCCAGCCGCAGTGGACGGAGAGAATCAGTAGAGGTCGTCGCAAGAGCACCATCCATGCTGCCTAGCAGAGGCGGGGGGCTGCCTGAGCTCCAGAGCACAGCAGCATCCTGAGGGCTGATGGTGCAGCAAAGGCTGGGGTGGGGGTGCAGGTGCGGGGGAGGGAGGTTTAAAAAAAAAAAAGAGAGAGGGGGGGGGGGGGGGGGGGGAACACAGCCACGGAGAGAGACAGACAGACAGCAGCTTCTAGGGCGAAAAAATGTTTTTAAATGCCACACGCCCAGGGTGGGGGAAGGCAGTAGGTGGTCTGCGTGTCTGAAGAGGAAAAAACATATGCACACACACACGCGCACACACACACCAGCCCAGCACTTTCTCCAGCAGGCAGTCAGTAAGGAAATGAGCCGGTCGTCAGTCAGGTACTCCCATGCCCAGCGAGCTCCCACGGCCGCCTCCGCTCAGGGAAGAAGCTGCGAGCAAAGCACTCCTCAGGCGACTGCAGCAAAAGACGCTTGGTGAGGCTGGGCTCTGTTCGGCTCAGCTCTTCTGCTCTGCCTGCTGCTGCTATAACTGCTGCTGCTTTAGCTGCTGCTGCTCCTGCCGCCACCAGTGCAGTCACACGCCCGCACTGCATCCGCTCGGGCCCCTCCCAGCCTGCCTCCCGCCACCCACCCAACCACGTAGGGGCTGCATGGGCTAAAGTGAAAAATGAGACTGCAGGTAATTATTGGAACTCGCCACTGCTAGGGGGTGGGGGATTGGCAGGAAGGAGGCCATAAAAATTTAAAGGAGGAGGGCGCAGGGAGAGGATGCTTAGGTTGGTATCATGAGCTTGCACAAACTAAGGATGATGGTGGCAGTTGACATTTAATATCTGCGCCTCAGTTTCTTCCTCTGTAAAAGGACGGAGGAGCTAGGGTGGATTAGATAATGAATCTCCAAGGGCTTCTCAAGTTCTAGTCTTCTGTCTGCCGGGGTCCTTCCAGATTTGACATTTTGTGTTCTGTGTCCTAAAGTCCCCTTCCAGCTTCGACATTCTATCTTCGTGGAAGGTGCCTTTCCATCTCTAACATTGCACATCCTAAAGCTCCTTCTAGTTCTAAACATGCAATATTCTGTGTTCTCAGGTTCCTTCCAGCTCTGCCACTCTGTATTCTAAAGCGTCCCCTAGCTCTGATGTTGTGTTCTAAAGTGTTTCCCAGGTGTTCTAAAGGCTCTTCCAGCTCTGACATGGTGACCCACATGTCCTTCCAGCTTTAAAATGTTGTAAGTTCATAGTTCTATGCCACTTGACAGCCTGCAATGCATATTCTTCACGATATTCTAGGGATCCAATAAGTTATATGATGTCCATTCCACAGATGAGATAATGGAGGCCCAGAGCGATAAAGTGAATTATCCAGAACTGGGACTGGGACTCCTTTTTTGGGTCTCCTGACTCAAAGTCACCCATTCTTTCCACAACACCTGACCAGGGCAGAGGGTCCTGGAAGGCCTTGTTTTCCACATTGATAGGAAAACAGATGACGGCAAAATGACAAGAGTTTCTCCACTAGTATCTAGTCCATTATGTCCATTATGGATCAACAATGTCACACGGAATCAAAAACATACCTGTTCTAAGAGTCTCCATCAATGACTAGTTCAATATTCTCCTTAAAGATGAGGAAATTGACCCAGGTAGGCTGCTCAACTATAAACTCATTTACTTTTTTGACAGGATTCCCTCATTGGTAAATGAGATTTTATCACGGCATTGAATAAAATCTCTGATGAGGGATTTTCATCTACCACTGAACTCAATTTTTAAAAAGAGAAGTCTCTAGTAGAGGACCTAGGAATCTGCCTTTGACCTTGAGCAGTTCAACGCATCGGTCTTATCACTGATACAAATATCAGTGATCTGGATGAAGATAGTGGGTCACATACTTGTCATTTGCAGACAACACAAAGGAATGAGGAGATAATTTGCCAGATGACATTTAGGAGCCCCCAGATCTCAGCTGGCTGGAATGATAGGGTGAATGTAATAATCTGACATTTAATAGAGATAAATGCAAAAGTTCTTCTGGGTTCAGGGAGTCAACTGCACAAATATTGGGTTGAGGAGATGGGCCAGAAAAGGGTTGCCAGGAAAAAGATCTGGGGTGGGGGTTTGTGAATTCTAAACCCATTATGGATCAACAATGTCACATGGAAACAAAACCCAACCCTGCATTAAGAGAAGCATAAACTCTTTGTTATTGGGGATAGCTATCTGGGACAGAGCAGGGAGTGGGAGATGGGGAAATCTAGGCAATGTAAAAATAAAATATATCAATAAAAGTCTATTTTTAAAAAAGAGAAACTGCCCAGAATGAGGAAGCTGATAGAGCCATTGTACTCTGTGCTGGTACTCAGATCACAGTTACAGTACTGCACTAACTTCTCGGTACCATATTTTGGAAAGGAAATTGATAAAGAAACAGAGGAGGGCACCTAGCTAGGTCAGAGGATGGGAGATTTAGGGAGAATCTGACTGTTGACTTCAATCAAGAAAACAGCTGCCATGTGAAAAAGGGACTTGGTCTGTTCTGCTAAGCTCCAAATGGCAGAAGGCCCCAGATAGGCAGAGGTGATGGAGAAGCACATTTAGGCCAGACATAAGGAACATAATAAAAATAACTAGCATTTATAGAGCACTTTAAGGTTTGCAAATAATTTTACAAATATTATCTCGTTTGATCTTCACAATAATTCTGTGAGGCAGGTGCTAATATCCCCATTTTACAGTTGAGGAAACTGAGGCAGACAAACTTTAAGTGACTTGCCCAGGGTCACACAACTAACTAATAAGTTTCTGAGCTGGAATTTGAACTCAGGCATTCCTGACTCTGCTATCCAGTGCTCTATCCACCACACCACTTAGTGGAATGGACAGCCTCTGCAAGTAGTGAGTTCTTGATCATTAGAGGTCTTCTGGTGGAGGCTAAATCACCATTTGTTGAGGATTTAGTTGACAAGAGGGGATGCCTGTTCATAATTGGTTTCACTGTATGACTTTACTCTTCTAAGCCTCAACTTTCCCACCTGCCAAATGGGGCTACTACTAGTCATACCACCTACCTCACAGGTTTCTTGTGAGGAAAGTTCTTTGTAAATCTTAAATAAGCTGTACTGATATTAACACTATCTTTCAAAATTTCTGTCGAAAATATTAAATTGAATTTTAATCCCTTTTTACTTATTCATTCCTTTTTCTATTAAATAGTTTTTTTATATGCCTACTATGTGCTAGACACTGGAGTAGCCATTGACTTTTCTTTCCCTATAGATCAATGGCACTCCTTTAGGGCTGTCAAAATAAAAATTAAATGATCATAATACTTTAGCTAGAAGCATTTAACCTCTATGATAAATTTTAGCTGGTTGATAACCCTACCCTTGATAGAAAAAAGGCTTTCTGTCATATATCTAGGGAAAGTGAGATTGTTTTTTTAAATGTTTTGATAACTGAGTTATAATATAATCAATATCCTTTGTAATCCTATGTTTTATTATGTTATGCATTTATAAACACTATCCTGAGAAAAAGAGTACATAGGCTTTCCCAGACTGCCAAAGGGTTCATGACACCAAAAAGGTTAAGAACCCTTCCCTCCCCACCCCCCACCCCTCCAGCCGCTTTCAAGGTGCACTTGAAGCAGATATTATTATTACCATAATTTCCTATTTTTTTCCTCAGGTAACTTAAGAAACTAGTTTGAATCTCTACAAACCCTAAATATTTCATGAAGTCACCAACTTTGAGAAGCAGTGGCCAAGATAGAACCTAGAGGTTGTAAAAAAGAGAAATTCTTGGGGAGAGGGACCTAACCACAAAGCATCACTGGAGTTCCATGAACAAGTGTTATGATGACCAACGATGCCATTCAGTTTCTTGAAAAAACAGAATGAAAAGAGCTCCAGGCTTGGAGTCAAGAAATTTGGATTTGAACACTGGCTCCCAACACTTACTAACTGTATCACCCTGGGATAGTCAATTCACCTCTGTAACCCTCAGTTTCCTCATCTGCAAAATGAGTATTACAAGTACCTATTTCACAGAGGGTACTATGAGAGAAGTACTTTGTATACCTCAAAACACCATGGAACTGTGCGTTATTATTTCTCAATCTTCTCATTCTCCTTAAAATTATTTTTGTCTGCTACCTAACCAATAAAAAACTATGCTTTCTGAGTTTCACAGAACCTTTGTCCTCTAACTCCTACCTTGGGACATCAAGCATATTCCTTGGCTTTCTAAGTAGCTCATTTCCTACTTCTCTATTCATGATGTCAGAGGGCAGAATGAAAGAAAAGAGGACAAGAACTAAACTCCTCCTGGAGGTTACTGAGGAGGTATCTGTGACACTATATACCACAGTATAGTGAAAAGAGCAATGGGTTAATAGTTAAAGAATCTGGATTCAAATCCTAACTCAAGCAGCTTCCAGGTATGTGATCTTTGGCTAGTTATCCGACCTTTGGGGACCAGAGTTCCCTTCTCTGTAAAAATAAATAAACTGAACTAGATGATCTCTAAGCCCAGTTCTAAATCCTATGACCTCCATGAGGCTCAGTTTTCTCATCATAAAAGAGAGACAACATTATTTGCACTAAATCTTCCTCCAACACTGGACCATAGCATAGAGATGACCTTGAATCCTAGAGGGCTCTGTCAGTGAAGGCCAAGCTCTGGCTAGTCCTACCAAACCGACACAATGGATAGACCAGAGGTGGGAAACTCGAGGTTTCAAGGCCACATGTGGCCTTCTAGGTCCTTGGGTGCAGCCTTTTGACTCAGTCCAAGTTTTACAGAACAAATCTTTTTATTAAGGGGATTCGTTCTGTGAAATTTAGATTCAGTCAAAGGACTGTACTTGAGGACCTAGAAGGCCACATGTTCCCCACCCCTGGTAGATCATTGAACTCAGTCAGGAAGATCTGAGTTCAAATCCAGACTCAGAGATTTACTAGCTTTGTGACCCCAAGCAAATCACTTATTCTCTAGCTGCTTCAGTTTCCTCATCTGTAAAATGAGGATAGTAAGGGCACCTACTTCCTGGGTTACTGAGAAAAATGACACTGTGTTTGT